GGAGCGGCCACTGCACTCCAGTCTGGGCGACAGAGTGAGACTCCAACTCAAAAAAAAAAACAAAACTGCCTGTTTTAAGGATTAATAACAGTCCAGGAAGAGACTGGGGTGAGGGTAGTGGGCACAGAGGAATTATCCACCCAGGAGAGGAGGTGAGGAAGCCCCTGAGGCCAGGGGCTCTGGGTGGGCAGGGAGCAACCTGGCTTTGCAGAAACCCTGAACCGCAGCTGGTGGAACCCTGGGCCGCATGTGGAGAGCTGGTGGGAGGGAGGACTCCCCAGAAACCGTCCCACGGCCCCTCCAGACGACAGTGCTCCTTGTCATCACACAGCCTCTCACGCCCACAAGGAGTCCTTCCCTTCTGGTCTGATCTACGGGAGCAGTCCTGCCTAAGGACATCACCAGGCCCCTTTTATTTACAGAGAAGGCGGGAGGAAGGGAGAAAGGGCGGCCACTTGGGAACCCAGCGAGCCTCAGGAGGTGATGCTGAGAGGGAAGGCAGAGAGCCTGACTGTGTCACCACGGACATGTCCCCGCTCCAGTTCACTCACCCCTCACACTGCCCCCAGAGGGTGCCTGGCCCCAGGAGTGAGCACAACATTGCACTGGCAGGAGATGCACCCGCAGCCGTCCAGTGCCCGGGGCCAGAGAGCTGGGGCTCAAACTCCCGGTCCTCCACGACATGTGTCCCCGTGGCTGCGTCAACAGCTCGGCAGGGAGAGGTCCTCTGTGAGTTTGTTGGAACTTGTTAACTGCACCGTTACATACATGTAGCATGTGCATGGACCACACTTTGCACAAAGCAAACCACTCATGGAGACCCCCCCCAGATCAAGAAACAGGCCCTCACCAAGCCCCTTTCCTCCCCCAACTCCTCAGCCCAAGGGTCAGCGTTGCCATTCTGTGAACCTTCCACACAGGGCACACAGTTCAGGACGTATTTCACTTCATGATGCTTATGCGGCCATCCGCATCACTGAGGATGCTCTGTGTCCTCACTGTTGTGACATCCTGTGGCTGTGTTAGATCACAGCTCGGCCATCTAGTCCATAGTTCACAGGAATGTGGGTGGTTTCCAAATCGGGGTTCTGAACACAGTGCTGCCCGGAACATTCTAGAACATGTATTTTGGCAAATGGGGGTATGCCTGCCTGGGTCTGGAACTGTGTGTCTCAGCTCTAGTCACCTGCCAAGTGTCCTCTCGTGTGCCGCATCTGAGGGGTTTCTAAGCTCACACCGGGGAGGCCGGGATGCATGGCCAGGGAGACAGCATGGTCCGGGATGACAGGCAACAAATGCATGGCCTCCCCCAAGAGAGAAGCACAGACGAAGCCTTACTTTAAGTGCCTTCCTTCTCCCCAGCACCCCAAGGCAGGAAGAACTCCGAAGGTGGAGATGCTTTCACCCTGGCAGGGAGGGAGGCCGCACAGACGAAGCCTTACTTTAAGTGCCTTCCTTCTCCCCAGCACCCCAAGGCAGGAAGAACTCCGAAGGTGGAGATGCTTTCACCCTGGCAGGGAGGGAGGCCGCACCACAACCCTGCACTGAGCACAGAGCTCAACATTCCAAACACGGAGTCCCCAGCAAACCTCAGTTCCTGTGCTGGGTCGGGCCTCACCTGTGGATCAGCCCTGCCAGCAGACACAGCAATCGGCCCAGAAGACAGTGGGGCCAGGGTCTCTGGCTGACAGCGGAAGGTGGCCACAGACCCTGGAGGTGCAAAACGCATGCTCACTGAGTGCTTCCTCCGTGATGGACCACGCAGAGCACCCGACGGGACTCCACAGGGCAGGACTGAGCCCCATTTTAAAGATGAGGAAACTGGCTCAGGAGGTCCAAGGACACAAGTTAGGTGAGTGGCTGAATTCTGCATCCTGACCTTCACGCGTTCTGAGCCGGGTGGCCTGAGTTCAAATCCCAGCTGTGCCACCAACCCGCTGTGTGGCCTTGGTCAAGTGACTTAATCCCTGAGTGCCCTCCGTCCCCCAGGGATGATAATGACGGCCTTTTCTCATGGAGTTTTTGGGAAGATCACTGGAGTTCGTCACAGGAAAGCCATTTGGGTCTGCCACTGTTACAGGGGCTGTGAGACCATGATGAGGACAATGACAGTCGGTACAGAAGCAGCCGCGGATGGTGTGGACAGTTTCTTACTATCACATTCCTTGAGAAAAAAAAAAAACTCCAACGGACCAAACAATAGATATGTTTGAACAAGCATGATATAAACACAGGCTCAATCATTAAAGCCACGTCCCAGGAGGAAAGAAAACTCTCATAATCACAAATAGAAAGTTTGTTGCAGCAGCTGTAAATAAACTTTTTTTTTTAGCTGGGGTCCCACTCTGTTGCCCAAGCCAGAGGGCAGTGACACAATTATGGATCATGGCAGCCTCAACCTCCTGGGCTCAGGCAATCCTTTTACCTCAGCCTCCCAGTAGCTGGGACCTCAGGTGTGCACCACCATGCCCAGCTGATTTTGTATATTTTTGTAGACATGAGGTCTTGCTATGCTGCCCAGGCTGGTCTCAAATGCTGGGGTTCAAGCAATCCTCCTACCTCGGCCTCCCAAAGCGCTGGGATTATCAGCATAAGCCACTGTGCCTGGCCTGTCCATAAAACTTTTTTAATGCATAAAACAAACGTTATACGGGTTTATAAGGTATCTTTAAAAAAAAACAAAAGAAACCCCTGGATAAAGTGACCACCTGAATGTCGTGCAAACATTTGTGGGCTCTCTGGGACGGCTTTCTAAGTAGATTGTCTTCATTAATTATTTGAAGATGACGAGAGGTATGATGTTACTCTGCTCATCCTAAAACCCACATGATCACATGTACTGAAAAAAACCACTTTGTATGAACTATCTAAGAACATCCATGGAGCGCACACACACACACACACACACACACACGAGCAGTGAGTAATTCAATGTCGCCACCACACTCCATCTCTCGGCCTCCCGAGGTTTTGCTTTCATGCAGAAGCCACTCCACAGTGTGGCCTCTGCACCCTTCCACTCAGATATTAAGCGACCTGTTACCTCTAGCACAGGTAGGAGCTCATGTGCACTCTTAGGGGGAAGATGCATCTTGTTGCTTTCTTCTCAAGTTCCTGAAGCTGATTACCCAGGACTTGGGTTTTAAACACAATGTCTGGAGCTGATACCTCCCTGTGCCTGGAGAAAAGCTTCCCAGAGAACCCAGAGCCTAGGACTCCAGCCTCGCCCCACCCCAGTATCACCCCAGCATCCAGCGACCAAGAACGCTCACAGGCACAAAGGACCTTCATCTTCAAAGATGAAAATGGTCAGGCTGGGTTTGGTGGCTCACCCTGTCATCCCAGCACTTTGGGAGGCCAAGGTGAGTGGACTGCCTGAGCCTGCAGGTTCAAGACCCACCTGGACAACTTGGAGAG